AGAGAACGTAGCAGAAACACTCAATGAATTAAATGTTGAAGATGAAGAAGATGATGAGCCTGAAGAATCCAAAAATGATGATGAAACGTCTAAATCGAAAAAGAAACGAAAAAAGAAGAAGAAGAAAAGTATTTTGTTGTAAGGACAACTGTAAATATGCGACTAAATTATCTGTTGTTTTAGCTCAATCAAATGAACCTAGACCTGATGGCCTTGAAACGACTTCTACCGAGAATCAGCAACAACCTCAAGTACAGATTGTAGATACTGACGTTGCATCTTCAACTCAACCGATCTCACATAATGATGATGGTAAGTAGAAAATTGAAATGTGTTGTAGTATTATATTTTATTTATTTCATTAGACGAAGATAACGATGATACTCAGATAAATGGAACAGGTGCAGAAGGAAAATCGACGACTAAGAAGAAAAATAAGAAAAAGAAAAAGCGTAAGTTGACAGATCAGCCATGGAAAACTTTATTAGAAATTGCGGTGGATCTTTCTAGCAGCAACATCAACACAGCAAGAACAAAACGGTGATTTATCGCAAAAGACAAACTCGACGATCAAGAAAGTACTCGAGCAAACAAATCCACCTACAATACCGATATGCGAATTGTATCCAGATGGTAATTTTCCAGAAGGACAAATCAAGGAACATCCGACACCAAAAAACTCTGACAAGTACATGTCCTAGCATTTGCAGTGCAGAAATTGGTTTTTTAAATATTTTTCTTTCCTTCTATAGTGCGTTAGCAATAAATCGTATTACAAATGAAGAAAAACGTATGCTGGATAGCACACAAACGGAAATTTATCGTGATTTTCGTCAAGCAGCTGAATGTCATCGTCAAACACGAAAATTCGTAATGAGTTGGATTGAACCGGGCATGAAAATGATCGACATATGGTGAGTAGTTGGAAATTGCTAGACAAACAAATGATAAGATTTAAATTAATAATTTTTCTTGATTTCAGTGAACGTCTGGAAGATTGTAATCGTCGTCTAATAAAGGAACGTGGTTTAGAAGCTGGTTTAGCATTTCCAACAGGTATGGAAAATTGTCGAGTTTCGTTGGCATGTCAGAGTGCTGGTACATGCTTTCTATTGAGAAAATCACTTTTTTTGAAATCTTCAGCTCTTTGTTGAATACAACTGTAAAGCTCTGTT